GTCACTTGATATGATCTTTGGATTTTAACTGTCAGAGAATGACCAGCAAAATCATGGGAGCTGCTCAAATTTTAACCCAAGAACAAGGGAAGACTACCTCCAAGGAATAAAAGTTTAAAAAGCAGTAAAGAATTTAAAAAATTATTGAATAGAACTTATTCAAAATACTGAAAGCAACCTATACATGTACTAGATAACACAACCAGTAGTGTAAGAGATGATTCTGCCTGAGGTATAGATGTTGCCCCTTTTGATTTTCTTTCAACTCTTCTCAATAGTCAAGGTGAAAGGCTCAGTCTTGGGGTTTTATATCTTCAACTCTTCCCCAGAACCTTCAGTAAGCAATAATACTTAGCTAAAGACTGAAAAAAATGATTTTTATTTAATTTATATTTATTTTAATGGTTGCCTTCTTTTAAAAGTGACTTTCCTGGACTTCCATTTGTGGTAGTTAGATATTTTTTCTGTTTTAAATAAATGTACTAAAGTTTGAAAAATAGAATCAACTAAAAAAACATCATACCGAGGACTATACTGATTTGGCAAAAAAAAAAAAAATGTGCAGGGAATATTTCAATGTTTGTAGTTTAAGTAAATATTGAAAGAGGTTTTCTTTTTCTCCTGTGTAATTGAAGTGCTAGAGGCCATTCACTTCCAAACAAGCCTTTATGGCTGCCTTCTTTGACAACAAACTTCTGAAGGTCTCCAGTGTTGATATGAACAGATGACATCTCTTCCCATTGGATAAGATCATGAAAGTAGTCTGTCTTCATGATTCTTTATTCACTGTCTTGAAACTTCTGCAACTTCCCTTGAATTGCAGTTCTTTGAACTCTGGTCTTCAGCTCTTCTGTTGCTTTCTCTTTGATGATTTCTAAGTCTTTGAAGACTTACTAGCAAATATTCTAAGAAATGAGAAGGCTCAGGAACTTCCTTGATTGTGGCTTCCTGTCCGGTGCGTCTAATGCCTCAAGCAATGTTTGAGAGACATCACATAATATGGTGGCATCTACATCAGACTCAGTAACCTTTATGATCTTTTCCTTATGATCACTGGCCCTGTTGAAACATATAGATGCAAGACGGATATGTTACTTTCTTTGGACTTCTTCAATTTGTCCTACTATGTCTTATTTTATGCTTCAGGTGAGCATTTTTTCTCCTTTTAGTGTTCATGACTTCACATAATGAATTTTTCTCTGGTTTAAATATCATACTATCATAAATAGGAATTAAATGGGAATTGAAACAAACCTAAGTAAACCACTGAACCATCCTGCTTAAGAATATAGTCTTCTTGGGCTTCCCTGGTGGCGCAGTGGTTGAGAGTCCACCTGCCGATGGATTGGATTTTGTTTTTAAATCAGAGAGTGTTCATAAATAGAAAAACAATATTAACACCTGATTTTCTTAATTTAAAAATCATAAATTGAGCATTTGTATACCTGCAAATGAAAGTATTATCTAACAATGAAAACACTTATCTGGTGAAGCAGCAATTTCCCTCTCATTGGATAGGATCTTTACAGATAGTGACTGGATGATCAAATGTTAACATTACATTAGTCAAGTAGGATGGTGGAACCATTTACCTTTTGACTAATTCAATATTATATAAAGTTTTATGGCATAAAAGAACCTTTTAAATAGAATGTTCGCTCTACTGTATCAAACAGCCTAATCAAAAGAGAAAATGGGAAGATGCTAGTTCTGCCAAAATTTAAATCAGACAGCACATTTTCTGAATTATTATCAAGTTGTATTACTAAAACCAAATTATTAAAACATTTGTCTGATGAAATCTATTTTTCATACTGATTTCCTCTGAATTTTCCCTGTAAAGTTAAACTAGTGATATCTCATAAGAATATGCACCGTGGCTAGGTAAGTAAAATTTTCGAGATACCAAGAACACTCTAAATAATTCATGAAGTATCTCATGTCATACTGAGGCATGTCAAATTCAAACTTTTGTGTGTATTGATTCACTGTTTACTTATGGTCACTGCATGAAATTTTATTTTCATTTGAAAAAAATGTAAAATTAGTTCAGAGGAGAAACAAAGATGCCAAAAGAAATTAATAATTAACCACTCCTGTTACTGAATGGTCAGTAATGGGGAAGGATTCATTTGTATAGGGTAGATCATTTGATTCTATTGTGACCAAGAAGACTATATTCTTTTTTTTTTTTTTTTTTCCGGTACGCAGACCTCTCACTGTTGTGGCCTCTCCCGTTGTGGAGCACAGGCTCCGGACGCGCAGGCTCAGCAGCCATGGCTCACGGGCCCAGCTGCTCCGCGGCATGTGGAATCTTCCCGGACCGGGGCACGAACCCGCGTCCCCTGCATCGGCAGGTGGACTCTCAACCACTGCACCACCAGGGAAGCCCTGTCAGTTCATTTTTTAAAATATCCTTTGAAAAACAAATTTTTCAGTTTTGATAAACTCCAGTTTGTCAATTTTTTCTTTTATGGAGAATGCTTTTGGTGTCATATCTAAGAAAATTTTGCCTAACCCAAGAGCACCCAAAGATTATCATATTTGTTTACTTCTAGATTTATAGTTTTAGTTTTTATATTTAGGTCTATAATTTGTCTTGAGTAAATTTTTTGTATGGTATGAGGAAAAGGGCTAGGTTTATTTTTTTTTGCATTTAGATAATGCAGTTTTCTCAGTGCCATTTGTTAAAAAGATGATCCTTATCCTATTGGATTACCTTGGAAGTTTTATCAAAAATATATTGGCCATATAAATTCCCTGGCAGTGCAGTGGTTAGGACTCGATGCTTTCACTGCCGCGAGCACGGGTTCGATCCCTTGTTGGGGAACTAAGATCCCGCAAGCCGCGCGGTGCAGGCAAAAATTAATTAATTAATTAATTTAAAAAAGGAATTCCCTAGCAGTCCAGTGGTTAGGACTCTGTGCTTTCACTGCCCCGGGACTGGGTTCAATCCGTGGTCGGAGAACTAAGATCCAACAAGCAGTGAGGTGTGGCAAAAAAATTAAATTAAAAAAAAATATATATATATATATGTACCATATGTATAAAGTTTATTTCCAGACTCTATTCTGTTTCACTGATTATGCTTATCCTTATGCTAATACCGCGCTGTCTTGAATACCAAAGCTTTATAGCAAGTCTTAACTCAAATATGTATGTCCTCTGAATTTGTTCTTTTTCAAAGTGGTTTCAGCTGCTGCCCTTTGCATTTCTCTATGACTTTTAGGATCTTCTTGTCAATTTCCACACACACAAAAAAAGCCTACTGGGATTTTGAAAGGATTGCATTGAATTGATAGATTAACTTGGAGGGAATTACCAACTTAACAATATTAAGTCTTTCCAGTCCATGAATATGAAATGTCTTTATTTGTCTTTGTTAATTTTTCTCAACAATTATTTATAGTTTTCATGATACAAGTCCTGCACTTTTTTGTTAAATATATTCCTAAGTAATCTTTTTGGTAGTATCACAAATGAAATTGTTTCCTTAATTTCAGTTTTGGATTGTTCATTGTTAGCTTCTAGAAATAAAATTGATTTTTGTACATGGATCTTGCATACTCTGGACCTTGGTAACCTAGATTATTAGTTCTAATAGGGTTCTTCTTTGGTACATGCCTTAGGATCTTCTATATACAAGATCATATCATCACAAATAAGACAGTTTTATTTATTTTTTTCTAATCTATATACCTCTAGTATCTTTATTCCTTACTGCACTGGCTAGAATCTCCACTACAGTCTTGAATAAAAGTGATGAAAATGGGTATCCCTTTCTTATTCCTGATATTAGGGGTAAAGAATTCAGTCTTTCACCACTAAGTATAGTGTTGTTAGTTTTTCAGAGATGTCCTTTATCAGGTTGAGAAAGTTTGTTGAGAGTTTTTATCATAAATAATTATTGAATTTGGCCAGATACTTTTTATGTATTTATTGAGATGATAATAGAGATGATAATACGGTTTCTGTCCATCGCTCTCTATTAATATAGTGCATTACATTAATTGATTTTCAGACATTTAACTAACCTTATATTTCTAGGATAAACTCCACTTGGTCATGATATATAATTGTTTTTATATGGTGCTGAGACCAATTTACTAATATTTTGTTAAGGATTCTTTCATCTATATTCATAAGGAATGTTGGCCTGTAGTTTTCTTTTTATGTGTTTGTATATGTATTGCTTTTTGACTTGAAAACAATATTGTATGTATGCACCTTAAGATATACTCTCTCATGGAGTTTACAGTCCTGTTGGAAAGTCAGAAATAATAAAAGAACATAATTTTTTTTTTTTTTTCGGTACGCGGGCCTCTCACTGTTGTGGCCTCTCCCGTTGCGGAGCACAGGCTCCGGACGCGCAGGCTCAGCGGCCATGGCTCACGGGCCCAGCCGCTCCGCGGCATGTGGGATCCTCCCGGACCGGGACACGAACCCGTGTCCCCTGCATCAGCAGGCGGACTCTCAACCACTGCGCCACCAGCGAAGCCCCATAATTTTTTTTACATATACAATTATAATTGTGATTGCTCTAAAAGAAAGTAATAATATTATACGATTTATTTTTAAGTAACAGAACCAAGTGGAGACGGGTAGGGGGGCACACTTAAGAGGGTAGTAAGGAAGACCTCTCCGAAGGAGTGACATTCGAGCTGAAACCTAAAGAATGAGGCAGCTGGAAAAGGGAGAGGGGGTGAGGGAGGTTTCAGACAGAGGTGACAACAGGTGCAGAGGCTCCACTCAGGAAAAACTTTGATAAATTAGAGAAACTGAAAAAGGTGTGTTTGAGCCACCTAAGAGAAGAGAAAGACATGAATGACTAATGGATTGTGGGAAAAGAGATGCACGACTGAAAGGTAAAATGCTCTACTTCATATTCAAAAGGTATTGAATTCAGCCTTGAGCAAAATGAAAATGCCAATTAAAGAAGGCAAGGAGTTGCTTGGATGGAAGGATATTTGTTTCTAATCCTGTTTTCTGTCCCTTGGTAGGTTCTTAGAGGCTGAGGATGGTGGTACACTCACAAACCTCAAGATCCACCTGGTTGAATATGACTGCAGGGATCTTCAAACATCTTATACACCAAAACCCAAAGAAGAGAAGCCTGCCCACTGCAATTTGCTGGAAGTACTTGTATAAATGGCTCAGTATGGCTTTTATTCTTTGATGCTTATAAGGGTTTTTCTGGCATTCACGGAGTTACATGCCCATTCATCTGTCAAAACTGAAAGAGAAATCTTTCTCAAGAAAGTGTTCAAAGGCACATGTCTAAAAAAATGCAACATAATAAGACAAGTGAAAAATGCTAGGTCCTAAATATTCTAAGCATTCTGGGAAGCATGGGTACATTTTAAAACTGATTGCTGTTCTAATTCTCTGTGTATCATATTCATAGCTTTTAAAAAAATTACTGATTTCTTTGATGAAGAGTTTAGCAAATGCAGAAATTGAATCTTAATTTCAGAATGCTTTGATTGCTTCTAATTGCTTGTTGTTTTTTCACATGTCTGAGTTTAATATCACAGAAAGCTTTTGAATCATTAGCTCTGGAAAAATAACCCTGTCACTTAATCACACAATAAGTGAATTACAGGCATCCAGGCCAGCCAAGGGACCTGACCTGGAAGTTCCTTTCTAAGACTCAACTGGGAGATTCATCTGTCTTCAGCCATGCAAATCATTTCTCATCTTAGTGGAAAATTTCAGGATGGCGTCACAGCTATAAATTTCCAGGCTCATCTGGAAATTCATTGCCCCATCCGCAACTGAACATTCTAGGCAATGGAAGAAGCTTTGAGTTATATTCACTCTCTGAAACAAGGGACTCTTGAAGGTCTTGAGATGGGAAGGAAAGAGGCAGGACACAAATGCTACATAATGAAGAAGGGGCGCAGCGGTTGGGATGCCATGAAGACCAGCTGGAACCAGCTGCAAACAATGTGGCTGTGAGAATAGCCCAGGCATTGACCTTTAGCTCATTATACCTTCCTTGTAACACTAAAAATCACTCCCCCTTACACCTGACAGTTCCCAGGAAGACCAAAAAGGCCAGAAAGTTCCCAGTGGCCCAATTCCTGGGAAATCCCCAAAATAGCAAGAATATTCCTCCCACTCAGTAGCCTATGAAATTAGCCCATAAAAACCTATGGCCCCATTCCTGGGACCACTCTCACTTCCTGAGACGTCCACATTCTGCCTATAGAATGTGCATGTCTAAATAAATTTGTTTTCCCTTTACTCTGGCTGGCTCTTGAATTCTTTCCTGCCAAAAACCCTCACTTGGCAATCGGTCCTAAGACTCCTGCAGGTCCCATGACGTGACATTTCCCTCTCCTGCAACAGTCTTACCTTGCCAGCCTCCCCTTCTCCCTCTCCCCGCCTGCCTCGCCACCCCCACCCCCACCCCTGCAGCACTAACAGTATGATGCAGAGGGAGCCTTAAAATGACCTGTACCGCAGGTTGTGGTTAGCCCTTAGCTTAAGAACACAAACTTTGGAATTAGACCTGACTTCAGGACTTCCCACTTTTAGTTGTATACCCTAGGGAAAGTTATTTACTCTCTCTGAGTCTCCATTTCTTCATCTAAAGAATGGAGGAAATAATCTCAACCTCAAATGGCATAAGAATCAAACAAGATGATATATATAAAGCACGTACCCTAGTTCTCGGCACGTGATAAGCGCACATGAAATGGTAGCTATTAACGTTATTGCCGTTGTTGTTTCTATTTTTTTTTTTTTGAGATTGAAGTACAGTTGATTTACGATGTTGTGTTAGTTTCTGGTATACAGCAAAGTGAGTCAGTTATACATATATGTATATTCTTTTTCAGATTCTTTTCCATTCGAGTTTATTACAGGATATTGAGTATAATTCCCTGTGCTATACAGTAGGTCCTTGTTGTTTACCTATTTTATCAGTATATATAGTAGTTTGTATCTGCTAATCCCAAACTCCTAATTTATCTCCCCCATCCCTTTTTCCCTTTGGTAACCGTAAGTTTGTTTTCTAGGTCTGTGAGTCTGTTTCTGTTTCGTAGATAAGTTCATTTGTATTATATTTTAGATTCCACATATAAGTGATATCATATGCTATTTGTCTTTCTCTGTTTGACTTACTTCACTTAGTATGATAATCTCTAGGTCCATTGTCATTTCTATTTCTAAGTTCTGTCCGCCAGTCGTTCTACACACCCAACCATCGGTGGAAATCTTTGAATCTTATCAGTGGACGGGAGTTTTAAAATTTTGTTCCTCAACCCACTTAATTTACAGGTAAAGAAACTCATCTATCTATAAAATATCTAAGAGGACACACACTTGTCCAAGTTTGTACTGAATGACAGAGCTGAAGTCTCTTGATTTTCAGGCCAGAGTTCAATTCTGCTCGAAATGCTCAAGTACTTTGGTTACTCTTGAGTATGTGCAGAATTATTCGTCCTGTTTTCATATTTTTATGATCAGTTACAGTTTTAGTTCTAGCTTGCTATCATGTGCGACTTAGGCTAACCAATATACTCATCAGAAAAAATCCAAGAACAGTATTTTTTGTACCTAAAAATAATTAGAAGGTGAAAAATCTAATTGGAAGAGAAATATTTTGAAAATGGTACAAAAAGAATACAAAATAATTAGAAGAAATATATACACAAAGAAATATTGTAGGAGAATAATGACTTTGTTATAAATGATGATAGTTTTCTTTTTAATATTCTAAAGGACTTTTTCCAGGAAAAATGATGTTTGATGTGAAGTTTAATATATACTCTTCATACATGTATGTTTATATTACTAAAACTTTTTAAAAGTTTCTCTTTTTCTTCCTAAATGTTTCAGCTAAACAAGAGTGAAGGTTTTGGAGAAGGGAGGAAGGGGAGAGAGACCTGGTGCTACTTTTCCCCTGTGACAGAAGGGAGTTTACCAAGAAACAGAAGATGGATACCACACTGTTGGGTGGTAAGTACCACGGTTCCACGGCCAGAAGGACTTCACTGAAGTCCAAAGCAAAAGAGGGAATTCAGTAAGTGATTCTCGCTTATAGCTACAATACTGAGCTGGGAGTTGAGGAGAAGCGTTCTTCTATTGTGCTAGTTCAGCATCGCCTCAGCTTTGTTCTCTTGGGTCTCCAGCCCGTAGTGTCACCAACTCATCCCTGACCTGGGAGGGTGTAGCCCAGGAAATTTACTGAATACATGAGAACAGTACTAGTACTGCTATGGTTACTTGGCTCAAATTAAATATTATAAGATGAAGTAAGATTCCTTTTATTCTTATTTACATAAGCAAAATGTGCTAACTGTAAATAATTCAAATAATATGAAAAACCAAATCCTCTTTACCCACAGTATGTGGTACCTTACTTTTTTTTTTCTTACTTGACCATATGTCTCAAAGCTCTTTTATGAAGTAAATATAAATCTACCTCATTTTTTTCAGTCATCATGTAGTATTCCACAATATAAGTGTACCATATTTCATCTAACCCTTCTCTAACAGAGGAAAATTTCTCTTTTTCCAATTTTTCTTTATTATAAATAAACCTTCAATGACTAGCCATGTTTATTTTATGAATATCTGTGAATGTTTCAGAGGAACGAGTCTTAGAAATGGAATTAAGAAATCCAAGAAAATGCTTATTTTAAAGTTTGATAGCTATTTCTAAGTTGTCATCAAAAGAGATTGTACCAATTTACACTCTTAAAAACTGTGTGTGAAGTTGTCCATTTCCACTTGATAATACTGGTATCAATCTATTGAATTTTGAACAACCTGATTATTTATAAAGTACACCTTGTCGTTTATTTTGCATTTCCTTTATTTTGAGATTAAGCATCTTTTTATATTTTATCAATGTTTTAATTTTTATGGTTATCTCTTCATTTCTTTTTCCCGGTTTTACATTTTATGTCTTTTAATAATTTTAGGAGCTCTTAATATATTTTGTATATTATACTTTGCTTTACATATTTTACAAAGACTTTCACTAGGACCTTTAGTTTTAGAGTCTTATTTCACACAGAACTTTAAATTTTTTGAAATAAGGTATTTTTATTAATGGCTCCTGGAATTTGCATCTTCCCTAGGAAGGCCTTCATCACCCCCTAAAATTCTAAAAACTGATATGCTGTGTTTTACTCAAGTTCCTTTCTGATTTGTTATTTTTTTTAGTTTAGTGTTTATAGAGTTTAATCCACTTGGATTTTGTGTGTATGATGTGATACTGGAATCTAAATTATTTTTTTCAGGATTTCCAACCCTCTCAATATCATTTTTGAACAATATGTCCTTTTTGCTCTGATTTGAAATGCTCCCTTTTTATATTCTAAATGTCCCTTTGTCCCTGAATTGTTCTTTTTGATTCAATTTGTCCTTGTTTTTATTCTGAACCAATACAACATTCTTTAATTAACATACACTTGGCATATTTTGATAACTAAAAATTCAGGTCCTTCCCCATTGTTCTTTGTTTCTTTTTCTTTACATTTTTTGGTTGTTCTCGTGCATTTTCTCTTCCACATGAACTCTAAAATCAACTTATCAATTTCAATAAATCTCCCGTTAGGATTTGTATTGAATTGCATTGAATTTATGGATTAATTAGCAAAGTTGACATCCTTAAAATATTGAATCTTTCCTCCTGAAATATATGTATCTTTCCATCTATTCAGGTCTTCTTTTGTATCTTCACTAAAATTTCATAGTTTTCCTCATGTGGATCTCACACTGTTCTTGTTGATTTATTCCTGGGAGATTTTTTTAAAGCTTATGTTGTCACTGGGAACAGGATCTTTAGATTTGGGGTTTCTACAGAGAAAAGCATATGAGAGCAAAAAGAAAGCAGGAGGTGAAAGAAAGGAGAGAGAAGAAAAAGAGAAAGAGAAACAAAAGGTAAGATGAGATGATACAGGAAGAAGATGGGAGAAAATGTGATTTTTATTGAGTACTTATTATGTGACAAGCCCTGTGGCAGAGGCGTTCACAAGCACCATTTCGTGCACTCTTCCTTGCCAGGTGGCTCGTCCGAGAAAATGAAATTTGAAAAGGTCAGCAAGGGAGCATGTAACAGGAAGCAGAAAGAGAACAGGTTTGAAGTGAAATCTGGGAACCGATCCCAGATTCCATTCTCACCAGCTGTGATTTTTGCTCCAGTCACCTAGTTACGTTCCTTGCTTGTAAAACTTGCATAATATCTGTTCAGGTGATTGTGAGGATTAATTAGAATAACTTATCTAAAGTGTCTGGCACATTAGATGCCATTCTCCATAAGTGCCAATTCCCCTCCAGGAACCCATCGCTTCCGGCTCCACCCCACCCCCAAAACGACTTTCCTGCCATGGCAAAGCCAGAGTCTGCTCAGAACAGCGTGAAGCCTTCATGTTAATGTGCAATGGGGTATTTATTCTGTGAGAGCCTAATACCCAGGAACACATACATTATGTTTTTAAGAAACATTGTAGGAGAAACAGTTGTTAGTAGCCATGATCTGAATCTGAAAAAAAATCACATACTCCAAAAAAAAAAAAAGTCAGCCATTTTTACAAAAGGAGGCATTGTTGAAATTTGAATCCTTATTCAAGCCCAAATCCCTAGTGAGAAATATGCTCTCTTTCTATCCGAACAATAGTTCCTTGTCTCGAGACGATGCTGGCTACATAGCCCTGGAAAGCATCGAATCCCCATGGTGATGGCAGCGTTTTCTCCCAGGGACGCTGGAAACACCGTCTGGAAGAACCACCCGACCCAGGGCTGTGGCCATTGAAAGGACGCTCGTTCCCAGTCTAACAGGAAAACACAACTGGTCCTAGTGTCCTAGCTATGATGTCTCGTATTTGCTGCAGGGCTTCCACCCTCCAGAGTTGTCCTTATGAGATGTGAGTATGAAGTCGAAAGAGAGAAATTAAGTAAGTCATACTGAAATGCCCCAAATGAATATTCTTTCTAGGCAGCATGTACGTTTGTTCCCAACATGGTGCTCTTATTCGTCTAGCACATGTTTGAAGCGGCCTGCATTTAAATCCTCCCTCTCTGCAGTTGGGAGCTCTTGAGAAAATTAGCTCACCTCTCTGAGCCTCCTTTCTTTCGTCTGAAAAATAGGGTTAATAACAAGAACCTCAAAAGATTGCTATGAGAATTAAATCACACGAATACAAAAGCGTGCTCATAAAAATCAGAATTATTCTTTCATCATACAGGGAATCGCATTCAAAGCCCATAAATGTCTCCAGTGGTTCTGTGTTTCACTTTTCAAGGGGAAATTTGATTTCTGCGATAGTCAAATGTCGTATGATTCTGGGACTAGTAAATAATATGTACTATTAAGCTAAGCAACTACAATTTTTTACTTTTTTTAATGGGGTGGTCTCATAAATATTGAGACTCGTTCCATACGCACTGTGAAAATTAACCTCAACCCATTAGATCTATATTCAAATTGTAGCCAGAAGCCAATCACGTCTCAATATCGCCTCTGCTACCACCTGTTTGGGTTAAAGCCATCATCATCCTTCTCTAGGATTATTGCAAATAGCCTCCTTCTAACTGGTTTTCCTACTTCCACTATTGCCCTAAAAATATTCGGAGCAATGGCGATATCATTGGAATAAATGTATCATCTCCCCAGAAGAATACTTTGACCATCGTTATTTAGATATTCACTTATTCAACAAACATTTATGGAGCCTCTACCATATGCCAACGTTGTTCCAGGCTCTGGCAATACAGCAATAAACAAAACAGATGCAGATCCCTGCCTCATAGAATGGTTTCATAAAGACTGGCTGAGATCATTGCTGGAGAGAATCTAGAGAAGAAGTTAAAGGACTGAGTTCATGGCAGTCAGTCCAATGGCTAGAAGTCAGGGTGATAAGAAGGACCAGAAATGAGACTGAGAACTGGCCGGGAAGGTGAGAGGAAAACTTGGAGAGTGCGGTGGACTGGCTGTCAAGGGAAACAAGTATTTCAACAAGTTCAGGTGCATTTGCTACAAAGCCACCTTGTCATAAGTTACCACCAGGTATCCCATGTGAAGGAGAAGATACTGGCTCCTATAGAATATACCAAGTTTGGGGGTGGTTCCTCATGGATAAATGATGGCCACAGGAAAAGATGGTTACTGTGATTGAAATGTATTATTTTGTTTATATATACATTTGAGCTGATTTTACTTTTGCAACCAAAAAATACTGCATTGACACAATTTAATCATTGGCATAACACTAGGATCTTTTCTTTCATCTTCAAATGTTCTGTCTAGCTGACTCTTGTCCTTGCAGCAAATTGTCCAATTTTGAGAGGTAGAACTATAAATCTAAGTAGTTGTATGTGTGGACAGACTGCCGGGAATTTGTACGAGTAAATTTCATAGATGTTTCAGGAGGTACAGACTGTTTTTCTTGCCCCCTCCCTTATTTTCTGACACTGAGTCTTGGAAGTTTCTGGCTTTTCATTGGAAAAAAAAAAAAAAACGAATCGTGGAAACAAACACTTCAAATTATTCATTCATCAAGCTTCGCACAATCTGGTCTTTAATCTTTCACTTTTTCTAAGCGCATTGGGTTGGGCGAAGCCATATGGTTGTAATGCTGGGAGGGCTGGGGAAGACTAGATGTGAGACCAGGGCAGAATTGGGGGTTGTTGACAAAGAGCAGGGAGAAGAGGATCTGGATTTCTTTCAGAAGCCTGAAACTTTGGAGGGCAGTCTGCGATCGGGGATGAGGGAGGGATGCTGCAATTGGTCAGCTTGGGTCTGACTAGCTAAGTAGAGGACATGAGGAACACATGGCCAGAGCCCTGTGCTACTCATCCCGGTGAGATACAACTGTGGGCAAGTCAGCGCCCTGAAATTCTTACTACAGGAAACTGTCACCTGCCTCTCTGTGAGAATTACAATTGCAGGCAATTCATAAAACACCAAGGGACTTCCCTGGTGGTGCAATGGTTAAGAAGCCACCTGCCGGTGCAGGGGACACGGGTTCATACCTGGTCCGGGAAGATCCCACATGCCGCTGGGCAACAAAGCCTGTGCACCACAACTACTGAGCCTGCTCTCTAGAGCCCGCAAGCACCAACTCCTGAGCCCCCGTGCTACAACTACTGAAGCCTGCATGCCTAGAGCCCGTGCTGCACAACAAGAGAAGCCACTGCAATGAGAAGCACACTTACCACAATGAAGAGTAGCCCCTGCTCGTCGAATCTAGAGAAAGCCTGTGTGTAGCAAAGAAGACCCAACACAGCCAAAAAAATATAACAGTACATTTAAAAAGAAAAAGAAAACACCGAGCAGAGCCATTTGCTACATCTCTTATCAAGTTATATCAGATGGCAAGTCACCCTTACTCTGTGACCTAGTTATAGAATATCCATTTCACAGAAATTTACATTGCTTCCTTTTGTGAGTTACAACTTCCAGGAACTCATCTTTAAACCCCAAATAGTATATGAAAACGTACACCGCAGACTGTATATTGCTTTTCAATGTAAGGAAAAATACTACATGTAACAGCATGGTATTCCCCAAGAAAACTGGGTAAAGAAGACAATGCCCAGCTCTGTGGGTGACATAATGGTAGGAAATAAACTTTACTCCGGAAGAGGTGAATGATACACATAGCATGTTGCTGTTTGTTACTTCTTTAAAGGATGGGGTCTGTAGGTGCCGGTACTCAGCATTCATCCCTGTAGAAGTTGCCCAAACAGATTGCATGGAGCTATATTCTGCTTCTCTACAGGGAGAAAGCAATTGTTTATTATTTAGGTTTACTTCTCAAATGGCTTATTGAAATACTTAGGACTAAGTATGTAACCCGTCCATGTCTTATTCATTCAACAAATATTTCTATTATATTTCAGGGGCTAATCTATGTGTTTGGGATGTGTTAGTAAACAAAACAGGCAAAACCTTCTGCCTTCTTGGAGCTTACATTCTAGTGAGGGGAGAAAAAATAACAAAACATAATAAATAGTTAAATTATATAATATGTTGGAAAGTCATCAAATGCTAGGGAAAAGTAGAACATGGTAAGAGGTTTGGGCTTACAGGAGGAGGGACAGATTGCAGGTTTTAATAGAGGAGACAAGGTCAGTCTCATTAAGAGTGTGACACTTGAGGAAAGATTTGCAGGTGAACTGGTTAGGTAAGTGGATTTCTGGGGGAAGAATGTTTCAGGCAGATGGATGAGCCAGGGCAAAAGTCTTAGGGCAGAAGCAAGCCAGGGACGTGCAAGGAATAACATGGAGACCAGCATGGCTGGTGTGGAGTCATGAAGAGAGAGTCAAACAGGAGATGAGGTCAGAGGTAGCCCCAGAGGCAACCCTGCTGGTAGAGGGCCTCATTGGCCACTTTAAGGACTGCGGCATTTAGTCTGGGTGAAATGGGAAACTCTTGGAGGAGTTTAGGCAGAGAAACTATACCATCTGTGTTACATTTTAGAAAGATCACTCTGGTTTCTGTGTTGGGAATAGTCTCAAATGGCACATTTTGGAACAAGAGGACCAAGGAGGAGACTCTAGTGATAATCCAGGTGAGAGATGATGATGACTCAAACCAGGGTGGTGGCCATGGCAGTGCAGGGAAGTGGTGTGAGTGTGTGGAGTCGGGAGTGAGACCAAGGTTTTGGGTGTGAGCAGTTGGGAGGATGGAGTTTCATCAACTGAAAGGGCGAAAGCCTCTGATGGATAGGTTTGTGGGAGAAGATGAGAACATCACTTTTAGGCATGTTACATTTGAGATGTCGGTGAGGCATCAAGTGGACATGCCAAGTAGGGAGTTGCATATATGAGTCTACAGTTCAGGAGAGAGGTTGGTCACAAGATGGAAATTTGGGAGTTGTCACTGGGATGCACCAAAATGAATAGGTCTTGGGGAATACGGGGGAATAAAATGAAGACTGAAGGGGAAGAACCAGTGACGTGGGAAGCAAATGAGAAAACCTATGGCATCCTGGAAGCCAAGTGAAGAAATTATACTGAGGATGAGGGCATGATCAACCACGCCACTGGATTTACAGGTGAATTTCCTCTGTAAAATGCAGGTAATAAGAGCGCCTGCCTCACAGGCTTAAATGACATAATTTATGTGAATGGCCAATCAGTATGCCTGATGCCAGTAAAGGCTCAAAAATACTACCTATTATTTTTATTCCTAGCACCTCTGAAAAAGCACTTATCATTATAAAGCTGTACATTGTTCAAGCTATCCCCTAGGGGGCGCGCAAGGCCTTCCCTTTGTCCCCATTAGTGGTGTTCCCACAAAGGAGACCTCAAACTTAGGTGTAGAGCAAAATGGACTTCTAATGGCAACTGAGCCGTTTGTAGTTAAGGTGGAAAAATCCAATGCAGTGGGTGTCAGAGTTCAATGTGGATAAGAATTACCTGAGGGGCTTATGAAGATAGAAATCCACAGCCAACCCAGCCCCTAGAGAGTCTAATTAGGTAAATTGGGAGGGGACCTGGGAACCTGCATCTTCCCCGCCCCAGCTGATTCCAATGTATGTCCCCCCACACTGCTGCAGCGTGGGAGAAATGAAAGAGTAGAATAACTGGGCTTCCCTGGTGGTGCAGTGGTTGAGAGTCCGCCTGCCAATGCAGGGGACACGGGTTCGAGCCCTGGTCTGGGAAGATCCCACGTGCCACGGAGCAACTGGGCCCGTGAGCCACAAATACTGAGCTCTGTGCGTCTGGAACCTGTGCTCCGCAGCAAGAGAGGCCGCGACAGTGAGAGGCCCACGCACCGCGATGAAGAGTAGCCCCCGCTTGCCACAACTAGAGAAAGCCCTCGCACAGAAACGAAGACGCAACACAGCCAAAAATAAATAAATGAATAAATAAATTTATTAATTAAAAAAAAAAAAAAGAGTAGAATAACTGACTTGTAGCGAATATTCACGTCCTCTCTTCTTGGGACCTTGGAATGACTTTTGCTTCTCTTTTTTCCTATCTCTCCCGTACAGCCAATGAGGTAAGCCAACCCTCCTCTAGCCTGGGAGGACCTCAAGGGACCAGGGTGGTTCTACAGAAAGCACGCTGGGGTGGGCGGCTTGGGCTAGCTTTTAGTGTGTCCACATCAGAGGACACAATGTAGTCCCTCCTGGTCCTTATCTGGCCCCCCAGATTTTGGGGGGGACCTGTCCAGTGTTTTAATAAAATTTAAATTTATTTCCAACATTTAAAGCTCAGGAGATTTCACATTCAAACGTAGGTTTCCTGTTTCTCCAGGACAATAAGAAGATTTGAAACCTGGTTCCCCATTCCCACCTGACAAACTGGCTTCGCTTAGGCTCTGGGCTCTGTAAATTGCCACCATCCCCTTCATTCCTTACTGTTCCCCCGCCCCCAAATCAAGGCCAAGTGTCAATTGCCATTCATCATCATACTTATTCTTATATTTTCCTCAAAGATGAAGGGAAGATGTTTCTTTGGAAAACAAAGATATAACAAGGAAGCCTAGTGTTTTGAGAATAAATTTTCTCACACTGGCCCCTTTCTCTCATTTATATTACTTGCCTGGCTTCTCTAGGCATTTAAGCTTGCTATCTCCTATCTAGCTCTTAATCCAGAGGTGAAAAAGTTGTTCTTCTATTAAAAATGATCTGGAATATTATTCAGTATAAAAGGAGTGAACTACTAACACACACAATAAAATGAACGAATTTCAAAAATTAGACCAAGCAAAAGAAATCAGATATAAAAGCATGATAATGTATAATCCCATTTATATGAAATTCTAGAAAAGGCAAGACTATAGTCACATAAAGCAGAGCTGTGGTTTCCTGGAACAGAGATTGGCTGCAAAAGGCATGTTTTGGCATGATAGAAATGATTTGTTATCTCAGTTAGACTGGTGCTTATATATGGCAATATTCATTTGTTAAAACTCATCAAGTTGTAAATTTTAAATGCATGCATTTTATTGCATGCAAATTTTATCTACTGAGGTTGATTTTTAAAAGTTATGTAATAAAGTTGCCAGAGAAAAGAGAGAAAATCAAGTGGGTCCTTGACTAGGGTTTTTTTTTTTCCCATCACTGTCTACTGTAGTAGATGGCAGGACAGGATTCGGGGCTTTAAGATTCACAAGGATCATGACCAATATTTAAATCTTCTAGACATACAAATAACATTTGGCACAGGGCAGCAGATCTAGACGAGCTGGTAGAGAAGATGCAGATGCGGGCACAAGTTCCCGGGGGACTTTAAACTGCGTGAAGAGCTCAGTCTGGGCCTCCTTCCACATGAAGAGAACCGGCCCTGCCCTAGGAGAGGACCTAGTGAGCTGGACGAGGCAAATGTAGGGGCTTTTGTTCTTTCCATTTCCTTCCCTCCTTCTCCCCTCCCCTCTTCCTATCCCTTCTTCTTCACTAGACTCACTCAGGAACCTCAACCTACAAAAGCATTTTTCGTATCTGTTGAGTGACATTCCATGTAGAGAGAGTGAAATCCGGTCATTCTCCTGGCAAACCTGGCCATTCTCCAGGGACAGAGCAGGCTCACCTCAAAATACACAGGACACTGGTGTGTAGGCTATTGGTTTGATTGTGTCTCAAGTTGCTGTCAGACACCCTGTTTTCTTTCCTCTTTCTTGTGTTCCTTAGTCAAGGTTACGGGAAAAGCATTGTAGGATATGCAAGACAGTGAATTTTTATGGTTGGATTGGCCTACTTAAAACCCGACAGAGCCCTCGGTAGAGTGGGAACTGAAGTACAGTTACATGGGGAGAGAACCAGACGCTGCGGGTACCCCACCCATATTCTTTTGCTCTTACCACTTCCTCATCCGTTGGCACATTTCAGCTGCAGCGCCTGTATTTCTTTGCCTGAGGCTTTCCAAAGTGGCTGCTTTTCGAGCAGCATAAGCTGAGATTCCAGCCAGGTGCCCCTCATCCCCATCAGCATGGAATGGCCGGGTTTCTTTTTTTTTTTTTTTTTAAGTTATTCTGTTAAGTGTAGTGTTCCCTTCATGGTTTTAATTTGCATTTCCCTAATGACTGACAATGTTG